GCCCACCCACCCCCCCCCCCCCCCCGCGAAGAGCACGGGCGCGGGGGGCCGCCTCGGCGGGGACCTCCGCGGGCAGCCCTGGGGCGGCGGGGCCGCCTCAGCGCCGGTCTTTAAACAAAGGTGCCTTCCCTCCGGCCCAGCCCAGCCCAGCCCAGCCCAGCCGCGGGTTGGGCCTGGCCCAGGGCGCCGCTCCTCTCCTGAGCCGTGTAATTAGAGCCTGGTGGTGTCAGGGTTATAATTATGCAGATTGAAAGTGTGATGGGAATGGGAATCACAAATAGGGGCTTTGTTGGGCTTGAAAGGAGCGAGTTCAGCCAAAAGCAGGCCTTTTGTGGGTTTGAAACGGGCTGATTCTAGGAGTTTTGATTCATCGCGAGGAAAGCGATGTATTTTTGAAGATGCGTTGCTGGTGAAGCAAGGAGACTGAACCAAGTGTACTCAAAAACTACATAATTGTTTATGTACAGGAGAACCCCTGAGATGAAAGATGCCCTCGTATTGACATTAATTCCTTTAACACAGTACAGATACTTAGATGGGTTTGTAACATTCGAGTCTTTGCTCGAGAGAGGGATGAATAACGTTCACTCATGGTGTTTTTATATCGCCCTTCATTGCCCAGCATTGAAAGAAACCATTGCTTGCGTCCCTTCCTCCCACCTCGCAGGTGAGCAGAGGTTCCTCATTTCCCTTAACTACAGTTACAGGGGGCGGCCTCCTGTGTTCCCCTCCTAAAGCTCTGATACGAAATAGGGAACAGACCTCTAGGAAGTGTGTAAGTCTCTCAGACGGCCATCAGTCCATCGCTACCCAGTTCTTGCGCGTCGGCTTTAGGCAGCGTGGCAGCAATGACCGCCCCCACGGCCTGCACCGTGCTTCGTCGCTGTCTCGGGTTGCTTAGGTAAGGAGGCACGGGCACTAATTCTCTTGCTCAGGGCAGAAGTAGACTTTGAAGTCATCCAGCCTGTCACCGTTTTCTCTCTTTTGTTTATAGTCTGGAAACTTTCTTCTGCACACGCGTGGGACAACGGCACTATTGTTTGTCAGTCTTTTAAGCACTCTTACAGTGCAAATGATAACAACTGGTACTACAAGAACGGCTGGGAAGGAAGATACAGCACGGCACAAAGCATCGACTTCCAGATAACGTAACTTTTTTCAATGAAGAGAATAAATGTCGCCCCCAGTGTACTAGATTGCAAGCAGATAGTGCTTAATCCGAAACTTTTGTTCGGTCTCCTCTGTCTCTTGGGAAGAAAGAAGTGGAAAAATGCTGAGAGTGTAAAAACCGTCTGGCCCCAATTCTGCCATGTGTCACCAGAGTGAGTAACGTAATCCAGTTTTTGCTACTACAGATAGCTGTAATCATTATTTCCATAAGTAAAAGAAGAATTGAGTTTCTACGGATTTAGCCCTGGGCAAAAGGCATATACCTCAGGTTGTTATCGCTAATAATGATACTAGCCTTAATTCTTAGAAATGCATGTGCGAATCCAGTGAGATTGCAAAGTGGTAAAAAAGATAAATAGCAGCGTAGGTAATACAGAGTTTATTAGGCATCAGTAATATACAATGAAAAAAGCCAAGAAGAAGTTTATAATAATGTCAGTGCTGGATGATGCAATAAGGCAGAGGAAATACTCGAAAGAGATTCCAACTGGAGTAATTATTTTTCCTCTTTGAACCAGGCAGGCAAAGTTATTTAGTGGACCAACAAAAAAACAGGAAATGGGTATCTGATTTTTTCAGTTGCCAGAACAGGTACAGGACAGTGTGGTCAGTACATTTCATCAATTAAAAAATCTAATGCAGACACCAGTTTGGAGGTACATCGGGTGACACATCTGGAGACACACTACAGCATGTAGCATCTTGGCACAGGATCTCAAGAGCCACCATAGAAATGCTTGTCCTCAGTTACGAGGCAAAGTAGTTGCAAATTTTCAACTGCCGTCCCCTGTTCGTGCCGCCTACGTAAGCGTTGCATGCAGGCACTCGTCTGGGCCGAGTGCCCAAGGAGAAAAAGCTTAGGACTGAGCATAGTGCCTTAGTATGGGTACAGAAGCTTTTCCAGGCAGTTCAGATCAATTGATCACAGGCAGGATCAGGCTCATTACGCCTCGTCCCCAAGAAAATGGTCCAGAAGGTTGGCTCTCCCTTGAGTGGGACAGCTTTGAGCCTAATTTCCATCCAGCAGTATGGGAAGAAAACAGCTTAAACTTGTGCATGCTCCAACGACCATGCTCACAGTCAGTGTGAGAGACCCTGTCTTTTTCCCAGGCATTTCCTGGGCGGGTGGATCTAGTAAAGGGTAAAAATGCATTTCACTGTGTTGTATTTGTAGCTGTATTTTAAATGTACACGTAATTTCATGAACCTGTAATTTCACTAACAACGTAGCTTCATGTAGAGCTGCTGGCAGATAAAATATGTGTTCATGAACACACTATCTCATGGTCTTCATGCTGGCCTGCTAGTCTTCTGCAAAGATGAACATCTTAGTCATTAAAATATTTGACCTAATTGTTTGTTTTTTTAAACACAAATTATTCTCCTCCCGATATTGACATTACTAATAAATTGTTAATGAGCTCCATTCAGTATCCCAGCACTAGCTGATGCGTTTGATCAACCCAGAACTTAGTAAGCTTTTTCCAAACCACAATGAAGACTTGATGGTTCCATTCCTTTTTTTAAGGCATTGATAAAATGTATTTAACACCAACCCAAAACATCCTAATGTGCCCATGAAACCTGTTATTCCTGGACCTGACAAATTATATGCCCTAAAGCAGCAGAGATCTACTATAGGACGTGACTTACGTGGTATCCTATAGTAGAAATTTCGGAATCAGTGTAGTTCCTAGTAGGCTCCCAATGCAGAGAACAAAGAAGCAGGAAGTCTACAAATCCCATCTGCTCTTCTCTGTTGATAAGCCTGTTGCTTTATGCTGCGATAGCTGCAGGCTGGACCTGCCTTTCAGGCAAGCTACTGAAGAATTAATTGCAGTAATCCAGTCTGGGCTATACAAAAGATGTGTTCCAATAAGGTCAGAGCACGGACAGTAAACTCCGAGTCTGGTGAGATTATTTTAAAGTGCAGTTCCAGTCTGAAAAATGACTGTGAAAGTAGTTTGATAAAAATAGAGTCACTACCATGCCAGCAGAAGTCCATCTAATCCAGTATGCTATCTTTAACAAAGGCTGATTGTATCTTCATAAGGAAAATATCTCAGAAATAAGACAAACATTGAGGGATTTTCTCCAGCTTTCAGAACTCGCCGAATCGAGACATCTGGACTGTTTATTTTTGATAACCACCAATGTGTAATAATACTACATTTGCTGAGCCCCATAGTTTTTAAACCATTTAAACATTAGGACTCTACAACACCCTGTGGCAATTAGAACTGCAATTTAATTATGTATTGTAAGAAAAACTATGTCCTATTATCTACTTTAAATCTGCTGCCTAGTAATTTAATTGGGTGTCCCTTAGTTCTGGTTTTCTGAGAAAGACAGAACGATTAATCATTCTCTATTCAGCTTCTCTTTGTCATTCATGACTTCATAAAACTCAGTTACTTTTCTTCCAAGCTGACAAGCCCTAATTTATACAGCCTTGCCCCCACAGAAGTTGGGCTGAACCTCCCATTGTTTCCCTCCATAATGAAAACTGAATTTTCTAACCCATTGTTTCCTTTCTAGTAATACTCCATATTTTCTTCTGTCATGATAGCGTAGGGAAACTGCGATGAGAAAAAGTCTTGTAAATCCAAATATACTCAGTTAAAGAAATCAGCTTAACCAAAAGCATGGAAAGACTGAAATGAAAAAGTCTTGTAAATCCAAATATACTCAGTTAAAGAAATCAGCTTAACCAAAAGCATATTGGCTCCTGCAGAAACACTCGTATATTCATGAACATACCTTGCTTTAAAAAAGCTGGAGGGACTCTCCTCCAATATATCATACATAACCAGATGCCTCTATATTCTGTTATTTATTATAATTTGTACAAATTGGCTTGATAGAAAATCAGACTAACTGAAATGTAGTTTCCCCAGAGCAGCTTTCATATTTTTTCAAGACTGATGTCCCAGCTGATGCTTCCAATTTGTTTGGCACCAAGCCTGCTTTGAAGGATAGGATAAGTGTCTGAGAAGGTCAGCAATGTCACACTTCAGCTGCTGTAGAGTTTTTGCAGAGATGCTACCTGGTCCTAGCAATTTGTTATTGTTAGATTCATAAATTTGTTCTAAAATATTTGAGTAGTTAAACATTTTCCTGGAGTTACAGCATAGATTCTCCATTCTCGATGTCTCTTGCCAACGTTTTTACTTCCTAGCTGTTGCTAATTTCCTGCTAATTGCCTTTCTCCTTTTTATACAATTTATTTCCTTTTTCAAACTACTATGATTCCTTCTGGCTTTTTCCTTATTGAATTAATATTAAATTGAGGTACATTGTAATCACTATTGGAATGGATTTTCTATAGAATCAAATCCAAAATGTCATCATTTTCTGTGAGCCCCAGTCACTCCAGGAAGTCAGTGTTTATCATATCCAAAGATATTGTCTGTGCATTAAGCTTAGGGACCCCTAATCTGTAGATCCATCTAGACAGACCTATACATGACAGTTCTAATTTAATGGATTGTTATTTTATTTTGACTCATCAATTCCATATCAAATCACTCTGGCTTTCAAATGCATTAATCCCCTGCCCTGCCCTGCCCTGCCCTGCCCTGCCCTTCCCCTTCCCCCCCCCCCCCCCACCCTTCCCCTTCCCCTTCCCCTTCCCCTTCCCTTCCCAATCAATCAGGATGGGTTGTTTCTTTCTAATGAGCCTTCATTGAGAACAAAGACTAATTATGCTTTCAAAGAAGCTTAAACATTTGCATTGTCTCCAGTATACATGTATATTGGAGAATATAATTTGATTCGCAGAACCTCACTGCTGATGAATAAGAAGGAGAAGGTAAAGGGGGGGATGTGGAGTTCAAGGTGGTTAATAAATGAGCTGACAACGTTAGAGTAAAGGTTCTGAAACAGCAGATAGGCCGTTTGAGTGTAAAATGTTGAAGAGCATAATGACAGAAGTACAGCTTCTCTCCCGGAAGCTAAAAATGCATGACACACATTTTGCCAAAAATGCCAATTTCAGCTTGATTTGTCTTCAGGGGACAGTGGCCGTTGACACAGGAAAAATTTCTTATTTCATGATGACATGAATATACTGGAGGGTTCAACTAATTCTGGTCATTTTTTTTTCTTTTTTTTTCCGTCTTCTGTCATCTTTAATTTTGTCTATCTGCATATAGTTGGAGAAGCAGATTCAAGAAATTCAGCAGCTTTGCAATAAAGTAGAAAAAAATTTACTATTGACGTTAGCAACTCCATCGTATGGATAACTAAGTGATTTTTACAGTTTGCAAAATTTTAGTAAGTATAGGCCAACAGGCTGAATGCTTTATGATACTGTAAAATGTTTTAGAAGATACCATGTTAAAAAACTAAACAGCAATATGCTTAGCATTGGTTATGTGACATATCTAGGAAAAATTAAATATTGCAAAACCCCCTCATTCCAGCAGTATATATGTTTTTTGAGAAGGCACATCTGAGTGGCACTGATACCATGTCAAAAGAGCAGGGAAAGTATGCAGTTGCTTGGAAGGTTTTTCTTCTATCAAAGTGGGTGTGTTAAATTTTCAGATGGGGAATGGTTTCAAAGAATGAGTACGGCCACTTTCATCCAAGTTCAGTTTGATCAAGCAAAAATCTTTGCTGAATATCCATAAATGTCCATGTAGTTTATTTTTGTGATTTCTTTTTTCCCATCAGATGGGATCTAAAAAAAAGCCTAGCATGCAAAAACCTGTCCTTGCACTATCTGTAACCCACTCGATCATGAAAGATCCAATAAA